TGAGGACACCCCTGTGCCCGCTCCCCACTGAGGACACCCCTGTGCCCACTCCTCACTGAGTACCCCCTGTGCCTGCTCCTCACTGAGGACCCCCCTGAGCCTCCACACTTAGCTTAGGTCTGGTCTCTGTCACAGATGCTGAGGCTGTGATTTGGAGGGAATGGTGTTCTTGGATTTGTTATTTGTGGGAAACAGCCTGGAACAGAGGTGGCCAATGTGTGTTTTTGTGTTTGAGAACGGGTGCCCAAGGGCCATAGCACCCCTTCCAGGGCTCCTACGGACCTCTGAGTATTTGCAGGACGCCCCCATGTGTAGGCAGAGGTGTGAGGGGCTGCAAGTCCTGTAGCAGGTAGGTTCAGGTACCAGTTATAGGTAAATGTATGAGGGCTTGTTGCAGGTGTGGAGTGGTGGTAGGGGGTGAGATGTAGGTACAGGTCAGGGTTACAGGTGTAGATATTAATACTGGTGTGGGGTGCAGTTACAGGTGTGGGTTGTAGGTATGGGTGTGGGGCATAGGGACAGGTGTGGGGTATGGGTATGGGTGTGGGCAGTAAGTACAGGTGTGAGGTGTAGGTACGAGTTGGGGTGTGCAGCGTGGGGTGTAGGTGTGTGTTGTAGGTACGGGTGTGGGGCATAGTAGGTGTGGGTTGAGGTAGGGGTGTGGGGCATGGGTACAGGTGTGGGTTGTAGGTACAGGTGTGGGGTGCTGGCATGGGTGTGAGGTGTAGGTACAGGTTGGGATGTGTTGTGGAGTGCTGGTGGGGACTGGGCTACCTTGGTTGGTGTGGTTACAGTGAATCAAGACCACTGGGGTTGCTGAGGTTTCCTGGGTGAGGGTGCGTGGAGGCCTGAGAGGGTAGTCATGGCTGGAATAGGTTCCCTTACTGTTGGGTTGGGCAGTGGCAGCCCTGAGGGCTTTGGTGTGGGGTCCGACAGGCAGGGATGCTCTCAGAGAGAAAGGGGGTCTCTCGTGGCTGGTCATGATGGCTCACACTTGTAATCCCAGCACTTTGGGAGGCCAAGGCGGGCGGATTGCCTGAGCTCAGGAGTTTGAGACCAGCCTGGTCAACATCATGAAACCCCGTCTCTACTAAAATACAAAAGATTAGCCGGGCATGGTGGTGTGCACCTATAGTCCCAGCTACTCGGGAGGCTGAGGCAGTAGAATTGCTTGAGGCAGGGGTTGCAGTGAGCTGAGATCACGCCATTGCACTCCAACCTGGGTGATAGAGTGGGACTCCGTCTCAAAAAAAAAAAAAAAATAATAATAAACTATACAAAGAGTTAGTGAAAAATCAAATAGATAAATTAAAATAGGATATTTAAAAAATTTTAAATAATCTTAAGGCAGGAATAAAACAGCAGGGACAAGCTGAGAACCAAAAAAAAATAAAATGGTCTACCTAAATTCAAACATATCAATAGTAACATTAAATGTCAATGGTCTAATCATAGCAATTAAAGGATAGAGATGTTCAGATTAATTTAAAAAGAAACATAAAACTCAACTACATACTGTTTACAGAAAACTCACTTTAAGTGTAATTACATCTGTAGCTGATGCCTGGCGTGCAGGGATGTCCTGACCAGGCGGCCGTGCAGGGATGTCCTGACCAGGCGGCCGTGCAGTGACACATTAAAGATAAAAGGATGGGGCCGGGCGCGGTGGCTCACGCCTGTAATCCCAGCACTGTGGGAGGCCGAGGCGGGTGGATCACGAGGTCAAGAGATCAAGACCATCCTGGTCAACATGGTGAAACCCCGTCTCTACTAAAAAAATACAAAAAATTAGCTGGGCATGGTGGCGCGTGCCTGTAATCCCAGCTACTCAGGAGGCTGAGGCAGGAGAATTGCCTGAACCCAGGAGGCGGAGGTTGCGGTGAGCCGAGATCGTGCCATTGCACTCCAGCCTGGGCAACAAGAGCGAAACTCCGTCTCAAAAAAAAAAATAAATAAAAATAAAAATAAAAATAAAAGGATGGAGAAAGACACCATCCATGTGTGACTCAAACCTGGGAGGAGCTGTATTAATATCAGACAAAGGACATTTGCCTTGAATAAAAAGAGACATTGCATCACGATAAACAGGTGAATTCACCAAGAAGATACAACAGTTCTAAGTGTGTATGCACTTAACAATAGAGCCTCAAAGTACATAAGAGGCCAGAACTGATAGAAACGCAAAGACAAATCCACCATTACAGTTAGGGACTCCATCTCTCCTCAGTAAGTGATAGAAGAAGTAGACGAAATTAGCAGGGATATAGAAAATCTGACCCCAGCAACCAAGTGAACGTACACATTCTTTTCAGAAGCCCATGGGACATTCACCAACACAGACCACAGCCTAAGTCTTGAAAGTTTATTTAAAAGAACTGAAATTATCCAGAGTATTTTCTGTGACTATAATATAATTAAGCTAGAAATTAATAGCAGAAATAGATCTTAAGTCTCCAAAGATTTAGAAGCTAAACAAGATACTTTTAAACAATCTGTTAGAGAATGTCTTAAACTATTGAGAATAGTTTGAACCGAAAGATGCAACACCTTATCAAAATGTGTGGGATGCAACTAAAGCAATCCTTAAAGTTAACTTTGTAGTATTAAATGCTGATTTTAGAAAAGGAAAGTTCTGAAATCATCAGTGAAGCTTAAGGAACTGGAAAATGAAATGCAAAATAAGCCAAGCAAGCAGAAGGAAGGAAATAATAGAGCTAACACCAGGCAACAAAAATAAAAAGAACTGCAGAAGTATAAAAAACGAAACCCAAAGCTGCTGCTTTGAAACAAATCATTAATCGATAAACCGGTAGCTGGAATGACAAGAAAACACAGATTGCCAGTATTTGGAATGGAGGAGGGTATTCTGTAGACCCAACAGGCAGTCGATGTACTTCATGCCCATGCATTTGAAAACTTGGATAAAATGGACCAATTCCTTTGACCCAAGAAGAAATAACTTGAATATTATTAAATAGATAATGCCTATCTATTAAGGAAATTGGATTCATCATCTAAAATCTGAAAAGGCTCTTTTTCAAGGAAAGCCAGAATCGTGTGTGTGTGTGTGTGTGTGTGTGTGTGTGTGTGTTTACATAGAATTAGTCAACTGATTAAAAACAAGTGTTGAAACTCAAGTGTGAGCTGACGCTGCATGCCAAATAAAGCCACGGGCTTTGTGTGGAGAGTAGCCCGTCCCTGACGCAGGCATGGCCGCCTTTGTCGCTCTCAGGAAGTACTCATCCTGGGAAATCTTAGCCGTGTGTGAAGGTCAGGTGATCGCCCTGTTTCCTGTCCTGGGTGTGAGGGGTCAGCCAGAAGCTGGGCAGGACAGAGGCGGAGTCACTGAGCAATGCTTGGGCGCCTGCTGTGTCCAAGGCTAATATGGGATGAGTCGGCCTTTGCACAGGGGCTGTGGTCCCAGGGCCTGGAGTCCCACCCCAAGTCAGCTCTGCAGCCCTGCCTGGGCCTAAAGGAGGTGGTGGTGGGGGGGATTCTGGGGCCTGAGCTGACTGCTGGGGTGTGCCAGAGCAGAGCACTGTGGGCTTGAGAGAGAGAAGGGTGCAGACACCGGCTCTCTCCTCCCACGGGTTCCCAGCTCCAGCCTGGACCCCTGCCCTGATCCACACACCTGGCCACAGCTGCGCTTGAAGACCCTCGTGCAGGGCGGCCCTGGCGCCCAGGCTGCCTCAGCAGGCAGGTGCCCACTCTGGTTTACGAGCGGGACAGAGGCCGTGGGGTATGGGGCAGCCAGCCGTGTCTTGTCCTCTCTGTCAAGACAGCGCTCCCTGCCCAGGCGCTGCCGCTGGCCTTGGGAGCTGTGGAAGGGCCAGTGGCCGCTGAGTTAAACATTTCACGTGGGAAAGCGCAGTGGTGCTCATGTTCACTGCTAGGCAAGCCAGGGCACGAACGAAGTGACGGGGAAGGGTGTTCTCACGACTGTGGGTGGCGGCTGCTCCCTGTTCACTCAAGGGAGGGAAGGTTTGCACCAATCACCAAGGAGGGAGGCCTGGCCGGCAGAGACCTGAGAGCAGCTGTTCTGCTCCGCTGCGTGCCTGGTGGGCCTGAGGTGCATCCTCAGCACCCTCCCAGGCCTGGCCCCTCCCGGAATTGCCACTGCCTGCCAGAGGCCCTGACCCCCTCGGTTGCTCACCCTGCCACCCGCTGTGGTCTCGAGCAGATCTTTCTTCTTGGGTCGGATCCCCTGGAACCCCAGCCAGGCGGCAGCTCCTGAGGCCACAGGGCGGGGGGTTGGGTGGGATAGGCAGGGTCAGGGTGTGTCCTGTGGCCCCCTGGGGTGGCCCCAACCTCCTGGTGTCCTTGACCCCCCGGCTCACCCCACTGACTGCCTGGGTGTCCCCTCAACTCCCTGATTGCCCAAGCCTCAGGTCGCCCCACTGACTTGGTGTCCCCTCAACCCCATGGGTGCCCCTGAGCCTCAGGTCGCCCGCTGACTGCCTGGGTGTCCCCTCGACCCCCTGGGCGTCCTGAGCCCCACATCACCTGCTGCCTGGGTGTCCCCTTGACCCCCTGGGTATCCTGAGCCCCAGGTCGCCTACTGATTGCCTGTTTGTGTCTCCGCAGCATCAAGATGGTTCTCATGTGGACGAGCGGTGATGCCTTCAAGACAGCCTACTTCCTGCTGAAGGGCGCGCCCCTGCAGTTCTCTGTGTGCGGCCTGCTGCAGGTGCTGGTGGACCTGGCCATCCTGGGGCAGGCCTACGCCTTTGCCCACCACCCTCCGAAGCCGGCGCCTCACACCGTGCACCCCGCCAGCACCAAGGCCCTTTGAGGGTGGAGAGGACGAGGATGTGGGACCGCCAGCCTTGGGCACTGGTGGGCCCTGATCTCCCCACGGGGAGGGTGGGTGCTGTGGCCCCTGCAGGTGTGGGGGAGATGGGGTCCTGGTGTCAGAGTTTCTGTCAGTCTCTGTGGGGTCTCTCTGGGTGGGCAGTGGGGGTGGGACTGGGATGCCGTTTGTGCTCAACAGGTCAGCCAGGGTAGATCTGACCCCGAGGTCTGGGTTTCGGGTGTTTTCAGGGTGATAATAGAAAGCAAGTGTTTCTCCTGTTTCCTCTCACGAAACACCACCTGAGCCCGAGGTACACATGGGGAGGCGGAAGGCAGCCCACGGGACCCTGCTCCAGGTGGACATACAGGCCAGCGGCCTCGAGCCATGAAGCTATGGGGGCCTCGGGATACCCACAAGTCCTGTGAGCAGAGCCCTCAACCTTGAAAGACCCTGGCCGGATCCCCTGTTTGGACTGGGGTGGCCTCTGCTGCTAGGGACCGGCACAGGGGCAGGCCGGGGTTTTCTCTTCCTGGCACGTGTGGAAAGGCAGCTGTGGGGATGCAGGGTCACCTGCTCCTGCTTTCCTGGGCGGTCGGAGCGGCTGCCTCCTGAGGCGCAGACAGGCCCAGGCGCCCTGAGGTTCTGCTGTGTCCAGCCTCGCAGGGCATCGCCAGAGCAAGCTCAGGCTGCTCTTGCCAGAGGCTCTGCTTCTCCTCGAGTCCTTGGGGACGTGGCAGATGCTGGCGACTGTCAGACAACGTGGAGGGCCCTGGTGGGCGAAGGCTGAGGGGGCCGGGCTGAGGCCCCTGCACGCCACCCCTGGGCTCCTCTGGCAGAGATCCCTTCCTTCTGGGCGCTGACTGTTCCACCGGATGCAGCTTAGCTGTCTCTCTTCCAGGAGAGAGATGGCCTCGGTCCAGGAAGCGGAAGGGGCTGGTCCTGGCTGATGGCCCCTCGCCCTGCCGTCCTGGGCTTTTGGCCTGAAGCAAATTCCTGAGTGGGGTGGTGGCCCTGCCAGGTGCTGTCCCGTCCCCTGTCCCTTGCCCGCCCCCGTGTGCCGGCTCATGCAGTTCTGGCTGCAACTGGTCTGACCCTTGTCACCCCACGTTCTGCCCCCACCCCATTTTCAGTTTAACTCGAGGTCACACCGTGTCAGCACCACTGCGCTGACTGCGGCTGGCCCCCAGGCCTCAGAGTTCTGGATGCTTCCATGCGGCTCCAACAGGCCGTCGTCTTCCCCTCCGTGGGCGCAGGGGCCGCTTCCCACAGGCCTCTGAACGCAACGCCGGGCGGTGGCTGTGGTCGTGGCGAGATGCTCCAGGCTGCCTCCTCCTCCTGCGTTTCCTCAGAAAAACTTGAATGTCTGAGTGAGGGTCCTGCTTTGCTCTCTGGCCTGTGAGATGCTTTGAAAATTTTTATTTTTTAAAGATGAAGCAAGATGTCTGTAGCGGTAATTGCCTCACATTAAAATGTCACCGATTGCAGGCGCGGTGACTGCTGAATGTACCCCCGTGGCGACTTGGAATCAATAAACCGTGTGTGGATCCCATGTGGTGTTGTGGGGCCCCAGGCAGGGGGAGGGGTCTGGTGCTGGCCTGGGCTCTGGCACCTCAGGAGGCTCCTCCTGGACACAGAGACGACAGCCCAGCCCCCTCGGATATGTCACTGCCTGTGCCTGTGGACCGGGGGCGCGGGTCCTTCAGCTGCTCATGGGCGGGTTTGGCGCTGCCTCGGCTGCTTTGGCCTCTGCAGCTGCCACATCTGCCTTCTCCCTCCCACCACCAAAGCCTGAAAGCATGGGAAGGGTCTCCTTTAAAAGGAGGTGTTTCTAGATTTGCGATCTCAGAGCAGCACACAGAGATGGAGCTGTGTGCGCACAGTGATTTTTTTCTGTGTAGTGTTTACAGTGGAGGCAACATGTGAGCTTCTTGTCCAGTAAACAGCCAGGTGTGTGGGTGGAGGTTGCAGGGCAGGGTTTGGGTTGAGGCCCATCCGGGTGCGAGGAGAGGGCACGGCCCATATCCAGGCAGCATCCCTGAGGGAAGGTGGAGAGTAAGGCCAGCGTGTCTGGAACGTGTGGGACACAAATCACTGCCCTCAAGTGGTGGACGGTGCCACATGAACCAGAGCTCTAGTGCGGGGATGGGAGACGGGGACCACTCTGGGCCACCAGGTTTTAACAGGGAGGAAATGGGAACAAGGTGTCAGCCCTGCGTGGCGGGGGCTGGACCAGGGGGGTCACTGTGTTTCTGAACTCTCAGGTCGCTGCTGCCCCGTGATGCCTTTGGATGTCTTTAAGCAACAGAGAAGCACCAGGGAAGGAGGAGGCTGAAGAGGGCCTCTCTGTGGGACAGCAGGTCGTGGGAGCCTGGGAAGTTCACGTTCCCCTCACCCCACGAGGACACAGACCTGATGGACTCCAGCCCTGTGCCCTTCCCTGAGGCCTGTGTGGGAGGGGGACTCACTGGGCACCTGTAGAGTGAAAAGGAAGCCTGGGGCTGGGTGGAAGTGTGCCACCCGTCTCAGCACAACTGCCTGGCACCCCATCCTGGTGACCCAGGGTGGCCTCTGGGGGACCCTGGTCTTGGAGGGCTCCAGGGCTCTCTGGCCAGACCCCGCAGCCCAGGGTGGGGAGGGGCAGGTCTGAGACCCCCATCCCCCATCACTCCCCACCTGGCCCTCCAAGGGAGAACAAATTGGGTTTGTTTCTGGGGGTCTTCGTGGTGGTCAGCACCTTATCACACAGGAAGAATCCTTCTGTTCCTGGGGGTCACCAGTAGAGGGTGGGATGAGCAGCAGAGGGTGGGGGGCGCTGACCTTGGCGTGTGGCCCCTTGGGCGGTCCTCTGCCCAGGCCTCTCAGCCCAGTACTGAACTCTGCCCATTCCTGAGCAAGACCCAAGGCTATCTATCACTGAGAGGCAGCCCCCAGTGTGCTGCCAGTCCTCAGGCCCCCACTGTGTGTCTGGGGCCCCAAGCCCAGCCCGTGTCATGGGCACCTGGGGCACCAGCTGACCTGCTTGGGGGAGGCGGGTCTGAGCGCCAGGTGGTCCCAGTGGCTGCTGCAGGCCCTGCCCGTGAAGAGGCTCCACACTCACCTGGATCATGCCTGTCTCCTGCTTTCTTCACAACTGTATCCCTTACAGACTCCTGTGGCTTTGGTCCCGGAGGGGATCCTGCCCCAGGGAGGCCAGATGCCTGGGCAGGTGCTCAGCCAGCCCTGAGCCCTGTGGGGACAGCCCCAGGGCCCTCACTTTCCACTCATGCGTGGTGCCAAGGGCGGGGGGCAAGTCTCAGGCCTGGAATCCACGTCTGGCGTGGCCGATATTGCATTGCTCTGTTTCCCTGTGTGAATGACGGGAGCCTTTTCTGCCCAAGGCGCTGAAGTGAGGATCCCTGAGGAAGCAGGGCTTCCCGCACGCTGGCATCCGCCCACCTGACCCTGGAGGAACGGTCGCTGCTAAGACCAAAGTTATTTCAGTTTCCCTGCATCCTGGACCCCTGTTCCTTGTCCCAGAGCCATGACACTCGGAGAAGCCAAGTGCTGTGTGCTCCCGGGAGCTGAGGCAGCATCAGGGTGGCCCCTCATGCCTTCCCCAGCCCATTCCAGCCCTGGGTTCTCCTCTTGGCATCGAGAGCACCCAGCCCTGCCGGGGAGCTGGGGACCAGCATCAAGCTGGGCATTCTGTGCAGCCACAGGCAGGGAGATGGGCTTGCTGCTGTGGACACAGCTCTGCAGAACCAGGCCTTGAGTGCAGGGACGTCACGCTCAGGCGCCCTGGCGGTTCCTCTTGACTCCCTTATGATGGAAGAAAACCTCTTTCAGGCCAATGAGTGCCAGGCTGTAGGGCAGACCCCAAAGACCACAGGACACCTTGAGAGGAGCTCCGCCGCAAGTTGTGTGGGAGCAGCGGGTGGATTGTATTGGGTTTCCACAGTCAGGAAATGGGCTTCCGGACACCACGTCCCCTCCTCCCTGCACTGACCCGTGCCAGGGGCCCCGCGTTAGCTGCCTTGTAATGGAAGGTGGGACCCTCCAGGTGAGGTGTCCCCCTCCCGCTTCTAACTGGTCATGACTCAGGTCTCCTGGCTGAACTCACTAAAATGAATGTGTATAGAGCAGCGCGAAGTGGAAAGTTCCTTCCTCTCCACCTGCAGGGAGAGGCCCGAGCTTTGGTACCTGTCCCCGCAGGCGCCTCTGGAGGAATCTCAGCCGCTTCCTCCCTGAGCGAAATCCCTCCATAGCCTCATGCAGAGGGTAGGGCAGTTCTTCCATCTGAATGAAGCCCCAAGGAAACACTCCTGTTGGGGACAGGAGGTGTCCCAGAAGAACAAGGACACGGTCCCATAGGCCGTGGAAGGGTTACAATGCCACACGCAAACCTGGTGCAAAGGGAGTGTCAGAGGCCCTTGTCACCCTTCCGGAGGTCGAGCCTCTAAGGTTCCCTAGAGAAGGGGTGTCAGAGGATGCAGGTTACAGGTCAGGGCTGGAGCCCCCTTCCCCAACCCTGGAAAGGGCAATTATTGGGGCGGACTGTGGGGCTGTGAGCGTCTGCGTCAAACCTCTGTCCCATCCCTGGGAAGGGGATGTGGGCACAGCTGGATGCCCAGGGCCGCCTCCTGCAGGGACCTGCCCATTCCGAGTGCCGGCGGGGCCTGAGGGGGGGCTGCACTCCCCACTTCTCCCTGGCTGGAGGCAGGAACGGTCAGAGGGGAAACGAAGTCATCTACAACAGGTGTGGAATTTCTGGGACTTACTAAATTTATTTTTAGCTAGGCATAGAAAATTAAAAATCCACGGAAAGGGGAGGGGCAGGAGGTCACAGGCCAGTGGCTTCCAGGCGGGGCCCGGCCTAGTTCTGGGACTCCTCATGCACGAGGGCCGAGGACGCGGCCTGCAGGACCCGCTCCCCCGGGCCAGACGCCCCGCGCGCCTCCGGGTTCCCGACGCTGCAGCTGGTGTGGAGGGGTCTTCGTGTGGGTGGTGCCGGCGTCAGGGCCGTGCCCGGGCCCACAGCGCGTCTGCAGAGTCGGCGGCCAGGCCCGTGCTGTCGGGGCCCTGCGAGCTGTCCTCGGTGGCCGTGGCCGAGCGCGTGCTGTCCTCGCGCAGGGCCGGCTCGGGGCTGGCCGCGCGCTGCTGCTGCTCCTTGAGCTCGGAGTAGGAGCGCGAGAAGGTGTGGAAGATGGAGGTGACCGGGAAGGCCATGAGCAGGATGCCGCTGAGGATGCTGCTGAGCGCCACCACCTGGCCGGGCAGGCTGCGCGGGACCATGTCGCCGTAGCCCACGGTGGTCATGGAGATCACGGCCCACCAGTAGCTGGCGGGCACGCTGGAGAAGTCGCGGCGCGCGCCCAGCTCGCGCTCGGCCAGGTGCACCAGCGGCGCGAAGAGCGCCATGGCCACGCAGAGGAACAGCAGCAGCAGCCCGAACTCGCGCGCGCAGCGGCGCACGGTCAGGCCCAGCGAGCGCAGCCCCAGAGAGTGGCGCGCCAGGCGCATCACGTAGAGCACGCGCAGCGCGCGCAGCAGCCGAAGCACCAGCCCCGCGCGCTCCAGGAGCTTGCTCCCTCCCGGGCCAGCCGCCAGCCCGAGCAGCAGCGACACGTAGAACGGCAGCAGCGCCAGGATGTCGATGACGTTGAGCGGTGCCCGCAGGAAGGCGCACTTGCTCTCGGCCTGCAGGGAGCGCAGCAGGAACTCGAAGGAGAACCAGGCCACGCACACGGTCTCGAGCACGAACAGGCTGCGGCACTTGGGGGAGCACTCGCCCTGCAGGGAGAGGGGACGCAGGGCTGGGGTTAGGGCCGGGGCCTGCGCCCCTCCTTCCGCAGGACGGGAGGGCGTCCCCCAGGCCACCCTTCCTCCTCCACTCTTCCCGCCCCAGCCCACGAAGCAAGCGCAAGGGATATTGCCAAACAGGCCCAATTCCTGTTAAATAAATAAATAAGGGGAAAAACCCCCCACAAGATTGAATGGTGATCACTTCGGGCACGAGAGCCGATGAGCTTAGCTGACTCAGGAAATGGTGAAAATAATAATGTTAAAACCCCTGACCTTTTAACGTCTTGGGAAATGGTCTTAACAGCAAACAGGACAACAAACATTTAAGAAAATCTTGGAAAATTCTGTAGGAAAGGTGAGCATTTGTGGCATCTGTGTCACGACTGCGTCCTCCCCTCGGCTTGACCAGAAACTTCAGGTGGAATGGCTGCGGCTGCAGCCACAGGCACAGCCTCGCCCAGCCCCGCCCCCACCCCAGCTCCCAGTTGCGGGGGGCTTCTTCTCCAGGAAGAGGCAGACATCACCATCTCACATTCTGCTCCTAGGGGAGGCCGGTGGAGGGGTGGGGGCTCCCTCCTCCTGTCCAGTCCCCACTGTCCTGGGTGGGAGGCTGGCCCTGGGAAGATAGGGCCTGACTGCCCTGGCCCCAGCTCACATGGGAGTGATTCTAGACCAGGAGAGGCTGATGGGGTCTCAGCGAGCCGCCCCCAGCTCTGAGAGGGGGGTGTGTGTCATTCACACTGAGGCTTGCCATTGTCCCCATCCCCCAAATCCCTGCTTGAGAGATTTTTTGCCTGGAGGTAGCTACATGCAGGAAATACTCTCTTCTCAAAGGAAGTGACTTCATTTGCAACAGAACATGAAGAAGTTTATACCTAAGGGCATGCTCAAAACTACTGGAGGTGGTGGTGAAGGGAATTAGGAGACTGATTATCTGCTGACTGTGTAACCTAGACTGCAGGCTGGCTAGTGTGCTGGAGAATGAGGGGATAAGACAGCCCACAGGAGCCCTCCTGGGGTCAGAACAGTATCAGACTCTCAGAAACCACTGAGAAGGAGCGGCCATACGCTCAGGTTGTAGAGGAGTAACAGAGCTCTCAGCTGGCTACTAGGAGTTTAATGGGTGTGGTCAGTGAGCGAGAGGAAGAGGTTGCTCCCCAAACCTAGGGTGCCTGTGGCACACTGAGGCTGCCCCCACCCAGAGGCTGTTGCTGGGGAGGAAGAGGGGCACATAGGTATCACAACAGTAACCCGGCCCATCACCAGAAGACTAAACCAATGAGCAACAGGCCCAGGACTGGGGAGTACCCAAAGTGCTAGAATATCCATCTAAGATGTCTAGTTTCCAACAAAGAATGACAAGATATGTAGGGGGGGAGGGAGGGAGGAAGGAAGGAAGAAAGAAGGGAGGGAAGGGAAAAAATAAGAAAACATGACTCATACACTCGGAAAGGCAACAGAAACTGCTGTGAGTGACCAAATGTCAAATTTAACAGAATGAGATTTCAAAGCAGCGACTATAAACATGTTCACAAAACTAAAGGAAGCATAAATGGAAATGCCATAAATAGAGACTATTGGTAAAGAGATGGACATTTAGAAAAATACCCAAATGGAAATTCTGGAACTGAAGAGTGCAATAATTGAAATAAAAAAATTTCAAAATCACTAGAAAAGTTTAACAGTAGGTTTTAACTGGCAGAAAAAAGAATTAGCAAACATGAAGACAGTGTGACAGGAATTATGCAAGCTGAAGAACAGAGAGAAAAGAAGCAAACAGAGCCTCGGGAAATGCAGGACACCATTATCTGCACCAACAGACGCATAATGGGACTACTCAAGGCGAGAGAAGGGAGAAGAAAAAATATGCAAAGAGATAATGGCTGAAAAAAACCGGTAACTACATATCCAGGAAGCTCAATGAAGTCCACGTAGGATAAACACAGAGACACATCATCATAAAAGTAATGAAGGTCAAAGACAAGGAAAAAGTATTGAAGGAGCAAAACCAGAAGGAAGATGAAGATTCACTCACAAGGGAACCTCAACAGAGATGCTGCTGACTCCTCAGCAGAAAGACTGCAAGCCAGAAGGCAGTGGGATGACATATCCAAAGTGCTCAAAGTGGGGGAAAAAAAAAAAAAACCTGCCAAGCAAGAATTCTATATCCAGCAGAGTGTTCAAAAATGAGAGTGAAAAATACACACTTTCCCAGGGAAACAAAAATTAAGAGAATTCACTGCGAGCGGAATCCTAAAGAAAACTCTTCAGGCTGAAGGCAGGGGACCCAGACAATAATCTGAATCAACATAAAAAGTGTTAGTAAAGGCAATTATGTAATTAGAAAGACACTATAAACACATTTTTTCTTCTCTTAACTGACTTGAAAAACTGTATAAAAATAAGATGTATATAATGTATACGTCTACAGCATATAGAAATGTAATACATGTGCAATGTATTTGCCAATAAAAGCCCAAAGGAGATGTGTGGGACCAAAGGTGTAATGGTCTAAGGAAACTACAGATAGTGAAGCAAAAGCAATAATTGTAACAATGTATACCACAACAATGCACCTAAAGGGAGAAAAGTCACTACAGCTATATAGGTGTAACATCTCCATCTCACTGGAATTAAGGTAGCACAAATCTGAAGCAGGTTCTGATTATCTGGGGTAAACTCTAGAGCAACCACTAAAAGAAATACCTAAAAAAAAAAAAAAAAAACCTTTAAAATCTCATTAGTGGGCTAGGCCGTGGTGGCTCATGCCTGTAATCCCAGCACTTTGGGAGGCCAAGGTGGGCAGATGACCTGAGGTCAGGGGTTTGAGACCAGCTTGGCTAACAAGGCAAAAACCTGTCTCTACTAAAATTACAAAAATTAGTGGGGTGTGGTGGCGTGCATCTGTAATCTCAGCTACCTGGGAGGCTGAGGCAGGAGAATCACTTGGACCCAGGAGGCAGAGGCTGCAGTGAGCTGAGATCCCGCCACTGTACTCCAGCCTGGGCAACAGAGTGAGACTCCATCTCAAAAAGAACAAACAAACAAATAAATATATAAATATCATTAGTGAAATTAAAATGCTCCATTAGAAAATATTCACCCAATGCATAACAAAGCAGTTAAGGAAGGATCCAGAAACAAAGTGGTCCGGGAGGCATGTGAAGCAGACACAAACCCAAATGTATGACTGAATAACATTCAGTGTGAATGGAATGAACAATCCAAAGGCAGACTGGATTTTTAAAAATAATTGAACTGTAAGTTGTCTATAGGAGACACATTTTCGATTCAAAGGAACAAATAGATACGATGGAAGAAGATGGGGAAAGAGACATCCTCTAAACAGCAACCACAGGAAAGCTGGAATGACTATACTAACAGACAAGGCCCACTTCAAAGAGTGTCATTAGAGATAATATATAATGAGAAAATCCATCAAGAAGACACAACAATTAAAACATATGCACCAATAATATAGCAACAAGTAAATGAAGCAAAAACTGAAGACAAACAGAAAACAGGAATAGACATCCCATAACCTTTTTTTTTTTTTGACAGGCGTTCTTGCTCTGTCGCCCAGGCTGGAGTTCAGTGGTGCAATCTTGGCTCACTACAACCTCTGCCTTCTGGGTTCAGGTGATTCACCTGCCTCAGCCTCCCGAGTAGCTGGGATTGCAAGCGCCTGCCACCACGCCTGGCTAATTAATACCCCACTTTCAATAACAGATAGAACAATTACACAGGAGAGTCAAGGAAACTGAAGATGTGAACACCGTAAGCCAAATGGACCTCACAGATGTCTGCAGAATCCTTCCCCCAACAACTCAGGATATATTTTTTTCAATGTGCACATAGAACAGTCTCCAGAAAAGGCCACATACCAGGCCATAAAACAAACCTCAATAAATTTAAAAGGATAGAAATAAGACAAATATACTCCCCATTCACAATATTAGAAATTAATAACAAAAAAATTGGGAGTCTCACAAACATGTGGAAGTTTAACATAGATAATCAAGAGGCCACACAAGAAATCAGAAGGGAACGGACTTGGAGATGAGGAAGAATGAAGATGCAGCTAGAGTAACGCTTCGAGGGTTAGTGCAGTGGCTAGTGCCTGTAATCCCAGCACTTTGGGAGGCCGAGGCAGGAGGGTTACTTAAGCTCAGGAGTTTGAGACCAGCCTGGGCAACATGGCAAAACCCCATCTCTACAAGACATACAAAAATGAGCTGGGTGTGGTGGTATGCACATGTAGACCCAGCTACTCAGGAGGCTGAGATGGGAGGACCCTTGAGTCTGGGAGGCTGCAGCTTCAGTGAGCCATGATGGTGTCACTGCACTCCAGTGTGGGTGACAGAGCGAGATCCTGTCTCAATAAGTAAATAAACACACGAAAAAAGGAAAAATAATGCTTAGAGGGAAATTTATAGCTGTCAATGCCTACAAGAAGGAAGAAAGATCCCAAATTAATAAGCTAATATGCCAACCTAAGACAACTGGGAAAACAAAAGTAAATAAAACTTAAAGCAGATGGGGAGCGAAGTAACAAAGATGAGAGCAGGCATTAATGAAAGAGCAGACAAAACCTATGAAACCAAAGGCTGGTTCTTGGAAAAGTTCAAAAAAATCAACAAATCTGTAGCCAGTCTGAGCAGGAGAAACAGAAGATTCCAATTATCAGAATCAGAAATGAAAGTGGGGATGTGACTCCTGCCCTTACAGGCGTAAAAAGGGTGATAAAGCGGGACTGTGAAGAATCATGCGGCAACACAGTAGATAACGGATCCCTTCACAGAAACAGGAGGAAAAAACAGAGAATCTGAACAGACCCATCATCAGTGAAAACACTGAGTCGGAAACCCTCAAACTACCCACCACAAAAAGCACAGGGCCAGATGCTTCACTCTGAATCCAACCAGTTAAAGGAGAATAGCCACAAAAAGAATGACGTCTGCAACTGGAGGCCGTTATCCTAAGCACAT